ATCTAATCCACCCCACCCTCTCTATAGGTCATATAATGGCGCTACCATGGGGAAGGGACATCATGATCTTTCTGGTGCTCAGAGTCTCTGATGGTCTTAATTCAACTGTTCATTCTTTGGAGTAATGGTAGTACTGAAAGAAATCTTAGCACGATTTGGAACAGGGCAGGTAAATCTTTCAGTATGCTATGATTCATATTTTTCTACACAGGTGAAGGGCAACATAGTAATGGCCCAGCAGATGTTCCAGCCTTGAAAAGAGTACAGAAAGGACAATATATCTTATTTCCCTCTCCGTGCCTAAGTTTCTAACAACTGACAGAGTTTCTAGAGCAGGGCCAAGCTCATCTTTCTTTTCTCTGAATAGGCATCACTTCCTCCACAATCACCCCTCCAGACTGAGTTAGGTACTCTCTCATGGCTTTTTTTCAGCCTTCTATACATCTCTAACCACAGCCTTTATCACAGTATATTGTCACGGCTCCTTGAGTAGTTTCCTTTCTTCCCGCTCAACAGGCAGCTCCGTGATAGAAGAGGCCCTATTGATGTCACTTACTAAGGTAGCTTCAGCATTCTATAAAGGGTCTGGCAAAAAAACACTTAACAAATAAAGGCTTATGGTATGAATAATTTGATGAACACATAGGTACTCAATAAATTGGTGTCAGGTGAAAAGAAAAAGTAACGTAATCAGTATAGATATAGTTATTATCTTGACCAATTAAATTTTGGTCAACTTAGTCTGTAGATAATTTACCAAGAACATCACACGTTCTGTGAAAAAGAGAAGCCACAGGGCTTTCCCAGTGGCGCAGTGGTTGAGAGTCCACCTGCCGATGCAGGGGACACAGGTTCATGCCCCGGTCCGGGAAGATACCACATGCTGCGGAGCGGCTGGGCCCGTGAGCCATGGCCGCTGAGCCTGCACGTCCGGAGCCTGTGCTCCGCAACGGGAGAGGCCACAACAGTGAGAGGCCCGCGTACCACAAGGGAAAAAAAAAGAAAAAAAAAGAGAAGCCACATTGGATGTATTGATGGGTAGGGGGCCAGGGGATTCATTCTTAGGAATATAGTGGTGAGGGCTTAGATTTTTAAAATAACAAGAAAACTAGCAAAATATCCAGAAAGAGATCAAAGTCTAAACTTGGTCTTATATATAAAATAAATCTACCTCAGATATGTAATAAGCTCTGAAACATAAATACAGGAATAACTCTGTAAAGCCAAAATAGCATACCAAATAAAAACAATATGGAAAGATACCCTATAAGCAGGAAAGAAACTGTGGACAATTTCTTCTCAAAATCCAAAAATATAAATTCTCCACTTCCAATTGCCTTAAAATAAGAAAGATTAATAGTCTATAGAGCACTTCTGAAGATTTAGTTTTAGATATCTCTTCAGGTGTGAGTACTAGGCTTTAAATACCTGAATTTCTTTGTCATTATTATAATAAATTTCAAGGTCAAATTCAAAGTGATAAAGTTTTCACATTCATTCTAAGCAGTTTCCTGTGAAAAGCAATGTGCATATTAAAACATACAACTTAGAATCACATGAAATATCCAAGCACTTAATCTCATTTCAGCTTTACCACATTGGTTTGTTATTTCAATGTCCAACTTACTCAAATAATGTTATTTTGATTACAACTGAATAGGCATTTAAAAATGTCATGGTATTTGAAAGAAAAAATGACCTTGCAATCATAATATATCAGTGTGCTGTATAAATTCGAAATGTGTAATTTGTTTGTTCCTCTATATTATATAAGGCAATAGCCAAGTTTTGACATAAATAAATAAAACTGTACATGTTCTATGTAATCATCTATATTTTTTGATGCCTACAAGGTTAATGTTGTTAGGTTTGGTTACTTTTGGTTTTATTTTTACACTTGAACTTAGCCTTTCAGAAACAAAATTCTCCTTTTCATTGCCTTGGAATATTTGAAGTGGAGCCAGGTTTAGAAATATAATTTTTTGTAGGG